AATAATTGTATATATATAAATATAAATATATAAAATATTCTGCATCCTGCCCAGTTTTGTCCTCCAAACAATGTACAATCCGAGGCCTATCAAAGCAAATATAGTGAATTTAACCCTAAAGCGCATCTGAAGCCCTGCAGTAAATCCTGATGTGCTGATGGATATGGAACGAGTTTATGTGGGATCGGCACAGATATAGGAGGATAAAAGTGTTAGACGGTCAGACTATTAGCTCTTTATGAGCTTTATGATCTCCCCGGATGCTCATGTTCTGACTGAAAGCAGGTGGAAAGACTCATAAAGCGGCCCATTGCTCTTAAATAATACACACACCTATGTGTGAACCAGCGTGATCTCGTTAGTATTCATGGGTATTTGTGTCTAAAGTGCAGTTGGATATAAACCCATATCCACTAAGGCAATGCATTGATAGGTTCTGGCCTGATTGTGGATCAGTGTAAGTGTAGACCTGACGAGCCTCAGGTGACTCTAGACACGCCCCCTCTCCCTCTGCACCAATCAGGTGCTCTCGTGATGATGATGAGTTGGCAGTTGAGTATAAAGTGTTGATGAAGGCGCTGCTGTTCCTCTCTCATCACGTCTGTATTTGCTCTTTCTTCTTTCCTCTCTAAGGTATGGCAGCGAATATCATTTCCCCTCTTTTATTTGCCTTTCTGTTTATTGTTTGAGTTTAATTTGATTCTTCAGTGGGTGTTGTGGTGACACAACATATTTCATAACCCACGGTTGAGTTCGTGTAAGTTTTAGTTTACGTTTGGTTTTCTTCTTTGTTGTGTACTATGGCGGCTCAAGGCGACATTTATGCATTTATACCTGCAGATTTTAAAGACATATTCCAGGTGCAAATTAAGCTTCATTAAAATTGTACTTGTGGCAATTAAATTGATTACCAAAAAAAAAAAAAAAAAGTCCCCTTTCCCCCTTTTCTTTAAAAAAAAAGCAAAAATCTGGTTTGCAGTAAAGCACCTACTGTACCATAAGAAGTGAATGGGGAAGATCCGTTAACCTACTCACTGTTATAATAATAATAACAATATAGCCACATGACATGAACATTATGCATGTATTAAACATTATAACATGATTTTAGTCTGATATTTTTTTTTTGTGTAAAGTTCAATTTAACTTGCAATGACAAGGCAATGTCATAAACCATAAAACATTTACATACAACTTTACAGCTCAAATGCACAAGCTTTAACAAATGAATAATTACAAGTATGGGTAATAAATGGAAGCTAGTTCCAAAAATGGGCCACATTCAAATTTATTTATTAAGCACATTGAAAACAATAAATGCTTATACTAAAGTGATGCACAATCAGCAAAAATGCAATACATACAGAAAAGACAAAGTTAAATAATAACATAGACTAATAAAACAGTAAAACTTCGATTGCAAGTGATTATTTTATTTTCAAGAAAAAGAGGGATGAGTTAAAAAAAAGCTTTACTAAAGTTCTATGCTAAAATGAAAACAGTAAATATAAAAATACAAATTAATTTAAAATATTAATCAAAACCATAATAGTATCTCAATGATTCTATTTTAATTCAATGTTAATTAGTTTAAATTTTTTATTTTAATTAATATTTAACATTAACAATAAGTAAAACATTTTTTTTATCTCTTTTTTTTCAATTTAATTTAATTTAATTTATGAATCAATTAATATACCCACAGTTTCAACAGTATAGCCACATGGCATGAACAATAAGTGTGTTAGCATGATTTTAGTCTGGTAAAATCACTTACTAGAAATCATTCCAGATTTCAGCTTTGTTGCCATAATGCCATATAAACCTTCATAGCTCAAATAATACAGTTTTAACAAATTCATGATTTCAAGTACTTTTATAAAATAAAATAAAAAAAACACTTCTGCTTTTACGTCATCCAAACAATTGCCCCATTAATTTTTTTAAAGTGCATTTAAAATAAAATAAAGCAACACATGCTTTATTAAAGTGCTGGATAAAACTGCAATTAATACAAAACTGAACAGAACATAACAGACTAATAAAACAGTATTAGTGCTTCTTTTTCGGTCTTATTTTTTAAAGAAAAAAGTAGTGATGAGACAACATTATTTTTATTTATTTGTTTTGTTGTTGGTGTTGTTAATCAACAAAATGCCACGAATGCTGTTGATCGAATATTGAATATAAGTTCTGTCGTACACAGAGATTTTCAAATGACTTCATTAATCCAGTTTAGATGTGTCTGACTTCAAAAAAAAAAAAAAAAAAAGCCATTTATAAAAGTCTTTGTTGAACTTAAATGAGTTGTGTTGTGGGATTATTGAACGGTACAAAGCTCAAATGCTTCCAGTCCTGCACGTCTACAGAGGATTCAGAACCATTTGTATATGTTTAGACATTTATAACGAACAAAAAATGTACAAATACCTCTGAAAACTAATGAGATCACCGTTTGAACAGATGTTCACAGGTGTGTGTGAGAGTGATTTATTAGTTATTAAGCCGCTGAGGAAAATCTTCTATTCAAATAACAATGAAGAAATCGTTGCCATGGTAACTCTTAATTAAAGACACATGCTTCTTTTACTTATAAGAGTAATCAGTGCTCAGTTTTGGAAAGCACACACTCTCTCTCTCTCTCTCTCTCTCTCTCTCTCACACACACACACACACATACCTTCAAGTCGATCTGAAATCTAAACTCACTCAGTTTGCTCGTTTCTTGATTTATTGTGAACTATTTCTCAGTAACTTTTCATCAAAATACAATAAAACTCAATCAGCCTCTGCAACGACTTAAATTCCTGATGGATAAAATAAAGTCCTGCGCTTCAGATTTATGCTGTGTCTCATTAAATATGCCGTTTTATTGTGAAATACGTCACATACTGTAACTGTACATGAAAAAATGGGTTGCAAAATGCATTCCAGGTTGAATTTAAACAAAATTTAATTTCTTGTGACACCACTTTTATGAAAAAAAAAAAATGAATGATGGATTAGGTTTTTTACAGTTTGACATTTTTTCATGTTTATATGGCTGGATTATGATATTTTGTCATATGCAGATGCTGGGAAAGGAATATCAACATGGGCTACTGGTGGATCATCCGTTCTCCCATTCTGTTTGCGTATCTGGTAAGAGATTAACACAGATTTCACTATAAAGATATTTCTAACGATACATATATATCATCCACGCCAACGCACGATAACGTATTTGGAGTCGATTCTGACTGTCAATGTTTTTATCGTTAATCAGCTGAGAAGAAAACGTTTTGAAAGTGATTACAACGATACCATCCCTCTGTGCAATTATCATTATAGTGGTGTGAATTTGCTGTTCTTTCAAAGCTAGAATGATTTTTAAAACTATATCTTTATCGTTATGTCGTCTTTGCTGTGAACGGGCCGTTACAGCTGATGTCATTCAGTCCGTTTGAAACTGAAAAAAACAAAACGCAGCCTCGCATGACAACGAAACCATTCGTCAAGCGTCTGCGCAGAAGATCCAAATGTGTGTGTGCGTGTGTGTGTGTGTGTGTGTGTGTTGCATATGGCGTATTGAGATTCAAGCTGTCTCTAATATTCTGCATTTGCACGCTGATATTATCCGAGGACGTGTTCATTCATCGAGAGCCTCGGGCGCAGGAGAGCATTATGACCTCCGCGTGACCTCCGGCGCGCTCATCAACGCATAGAAAAATGCTCTGGGGGCTTTACAAAGTAATAAAGACAAACACAACAGAAATGTTGGTTCTACACAACACAAATGATTTATTTCACGAGTCCCATTTATACTGCGCTTGTACCATGTTCTGATTTAAAAACTGCAGCAGAAACAGGCTTTGAACAGCTTTTTTTATGCGATATGTGAATCCACGGGATTTCTGTTCTCAGAAAAGTAGCCTATTTGGAAAACAATATTGATATAACTTTGCTTATGTATATGACGCAGAATTAAACGAACCTTCAGTCATTATTTGTGTTGTTTTAGAAGATTTGAGCCTTAATTAGAGGATAATACTCTTTACAGTTACTTTTATATTTTTTATTTTTTACTTTATGCTCTCCCCTATTTACATATTTACATGCATGCACATTTTAAAAAGTTGATAAAAAATCTATATAACAAATCATCTGACAACTGTTCAAAACTGAAATTGCCAGATCTCGATCGCATTTTATTAATTAATGTTTATGAATACATTGTTATTTATTATTTATTAAATTGCAATTTAATGGCAACGTTGTTTATACATGAATTCAATTAATTGTAAAGTCTCTTGTGTTGTTTGTGTGGATCAATTCACTCATCATCTAAACTCAGTAAGAATCAAATATAAGAGAGATTCATCAGTTATAACAGTGGTTTGTTTTGTGTTTGTCACACTAGTTCTGCTCAGGCTTCAGAAGTTACACAGAACAGAATGAAAGCATTATAAAGTCAAAATAGAGAGATCCCACTGATGTGTATGTGAGTTCATGCGTTACGCTTTGACATGTTATCATGTACGGTAGTGAAACTGAGATATCGTGGTCTTTTGAATGACACGAATCACGTCAGTCTCAGTGATTTGAACCTCTCTCCCTTCCTCTCTTTCTTTTCTTCTGGAATAGATTAATTTCATCATATTCATTCGCATAATAAAGATTCTGATGTCCAAGCTGAAGGCGCATCAGATGAGATACACAGACTACAAGTTCAGGTAAAAGACCGCCGTATTTTTTATTGTTATTTTTTCATGCAAGCAGAGCTCATGCTCTCATTAAATGTGTGTTTCTCTCTCTCGCTCTGCTCAGGCTGGCCAAGTCCACGCTCACGCTGATTCCTCTGCTGGGGATTCACGCCATCCTCTTCACCTTCGTCATCGATGAGTCCGTGCCGAAGGGGTCTCTTCTCAGGCTGATCCGCCTCTTCTACGACCTCCTGTTCAGCTCCTTCCAGGTCAGAGGGCAAAGGTCGCCGGCCCACCGTCACCATCAGATCATTTCAATCAGAGTGGTTACAGAGATGGATGGTATCTGCTGTGAGATGAGAGCAGATGGTTGAGGTTCATGTGTGTTGTTGTCTGTAATTGTAGGGTCTGCTCGTGGCCATCCTGTACTGCTTCGTCAACAAAGAGGTGAGAGATATTCCGGTTTGTTTTTTTTGTATAATAAAAAAGCATCTCTTAAAGGGGTCATATGATGCTATTTTAAAGATCATTATTTTGTGTATTTGGTGTAACAGAATATGTTGACATGCTTTAATGTTCAAAAAACACATTATTTTTTCAAATACTGTACATTATTGTAGGTCCTCTATGCCTCGCCTCTCTCAAACACGTAGTTTTCAACAAAGCCCCCTCCTTTGACAAGCACAGTCTGCTCTGATTGGCCAGCTGAACCAGTGCATTGTGATTGGCCGAACACAGCAAGCACTCGTCGGAAATGTAACGCCCCTTACCATAATCGCGAGCTTCATCTTTCAAAATAAATGTAAAGACAGTAAATAATGTCATTAGTTTTACCATCAGTTCAAGCCCGAAAGGCCAACAGAGTCGCATGACAGACACAGTGATGATGCAGTACACAAGCCACGGTTAAGACAGCTGACTCCACTGTGATGCGACCCTGTCTCTCTCTCTCTCTCTCACACACACACACACACACACACACAACGCGTTACTCTGCGCTGCGCAAAACTCCGCATTTGAACAGTCAATTGTAAATACTTAAACTAATAACAAAACATACTTACAGTCACTGATACAGAAGCACTAGATTGTCATAGCAAAGTCGGAATTGACCCTTTTTATTTTGTGCACAGCCAGCCTTGTACTCTTCTAGGTTCAAAAAACTGTCGTCCATAAAATGCGAGAGCAGTATTTGACATAGACAGCAAAAGATTTCAGAGAAGTGATTTCACCTGCATTTTTAAACATTGAGAAGCCTGTTTATTTTGCTATCCTAACTAAAAACCTATCGCATACTGTTAGAACATAGCTGTAAATAGCTTTTTGGGTCACGGCCAACTTGTTGGGAACCTCTATTCACACCAAGTTGGGGGTTTTTTCTGTTAATTTTAGCAATGAAAAAAGCCCTTCATGTTAAGCAAGAACATTCACCTTTTTTTTCTTCTTTTTTTCATATGTATTGCATTGGATGCAATTTTTCACCATTGATTTTTTTTGTGTATGTGTTTTTTTTTCTTCAGTCATATCGCTCTTTTTTGTGAACAGTCCTCTGACTGAATAGACTGTGTTTCTCCGGCTCTCCAGGTCCAGAGCGAGATGCTGAAGAAGTGGAAGAGGTGGAAACTAGGCAAGGACATTGAGGAAGAGTACCGTCACACCCACAGCCAGACGCCCCACGCCAAAAGCGGCAGCATGGCCCCGGCGATGACCCACGAATGCCCCGAAACCCCAGAACTGGCAGCCGCGGCCTCGGCAGAGTCCCAGCGTCTAGTGACGGGCCTTCAGAATGGAGTGAGCCAGAACCGGAGCCGTGTGAGGCTGCAGTTGACCTCCGAGCCACAGGAGGGCGCCAGTAACTGCAGCTCTCTGACGGAAGACATTTGTCTGGAAGAGCGTCCCCTCAACAGTGAGTGTTCAGCGGTGGTGACAGAAACCAACCTTTAACACTAATGGATCAATGGAGATGATGTTTCATTCCAGATATGGTCTTCATGTTAGCAAACAGGCTTCTATCATGTAACCTTAAGTAAAAACAAGCTGCAATTATCTCCTGAGTTGGTAAATAATCAGTATTAATTATTGGTGGCTTCTTAAGGTGCAGTCACATTTACTGCTGCTCAGCAAAATTTCGCAGATGAAATTACCAGTGCTGGTGAAGGTTACTTTTTAAAGTAATGCATTACAATATTTTGTTACTCCCTAAAAAAAGTTACTAATGTTGTTACTTGGTTACGTTTTATGGAAAGTAATGCGTTACGTTACTTTTGCATTCATTTTTCTCATCTAGGCTGAGCTTGCTTGATTGTTTTTAATGTAAAAAAGTTATAATTTTGGCAAATGTAAAAGCCCTTTCACACCAAAAGTTCAATGAATAGCCTCAGGCTGAAGGAAATGTAAATTCATGCTTGTACAGTAGAGGCCGCGGTTCAGACAAACCTTGTAGCTGTGCTGTTATTCTGGATTGCATGAAGAATAGGACGCAGCAGAAAAAAGTTCAACACTTTTCAACAAGTAAAAAAAAAAAGAAAAACAAATGTTGTGTTTATCAAAAGTAATTTTTAGGGATGCACAATATTATCGGAACGTTATCAAAATCGGCCGATAATGGCGTAAAATGCAAATATCGGCATCAGCACGATATGAAAAATTGTGCCGATATGCCTTACTGATAAGATGAGTAACTCGCCTGTGCTCAGGGTGTGATAGTGATAAGATCATGTCAGCAGTGTGGTCATTCTTGAACTTTTGCCTGAATGATGATTAGATTCATTGTTTTGAGCATTTAATCTGAGAATGCAAGTACAGAATGAGCGTCATAGAGTCACCAGTTACTAGCACCTGCAGCGGCAGCCTGCCCCGGGTCCTAATGCCTGTTCGGTAAGGCGTTTTATTTACTTGGGGGGCGCTGTTGGCCTACTTGTTATAAAATGAAAGTAAAATACACAAATAACATTAAGATTGTGTTTCTGATTAAATAAAGCAGTTGATGTCATAATCACGAGTATGGTTTGATTTAAAGGTCAGAAGGTATAGCTTACATTAATAAAAATCACAAACAAGACACTTGTAAATTAAATAAGTTGTATACACAGATGCATTCATTAATGTGTAATATGTTTTTTTTTTTCAAACTGATTATGAAAACTTAAATACAATGAGCTCTAAAAGATTTTCAGAATTTGTACAACTCTTTTGTTTTAGACCATCTACAAATGTTAAATATTCAAATAAAATGTTAAGGATTGCTTTATAGTTGTTTTATAGTTATTTTCAAAGCTTTCAATGTACTCTCATTATAAAATAACTTAATTGTTTATTTAATTCTCTAAAGTATGTTTTTGTTAAAAACTATCCAAAATGAAAAATAATTTATGATCTCTGTACAGGAGAGATTTGGTGTTGTTTCCAAACAAAAGGAAATATATCGGCATCGGCTATCGGCCAAAATTAATGTAAAAATATCGGCAAAAATCGAATATTGTGCATCCTTAATAATTATTGCTCATTAGTATGGTTGAATTGGATCATCGAAGGTCAGCAGCAAAGACATTGGTTAATAAAATGGGATTAAATACATTACAATACAATATAGGATATTTGTGTTATTTAACATATTTAATTATTACAGGTTTGTGTCATATTCTGAGTTTGCATTTCACTGTTTTTATTCATTTTGAGGAATATCGAATCTGTTTTTGTGCAAGTGAGATGAATAAATGCATGTTGACATTTAGTCTAGAACTACAGTAATGATCATGTTCACACAGCGCTCTCAACGCCTCTGCACTCACTCCTGATTTCTCTCAACATGAGGACAGGAGAGCTGTCAGTCAACACATTAGAAACAAGACTAACTGGCATTACTTATATGAAACTTAGAATTTTTTTTTTTAGATTATTTTTGTTAATTAAAAAGTAATGCATTACGTTACTAGTTACTTGGGGAAAAAGTAATCAGATTACGTAACTCGCGTTACTTGTAATGCTTTACCCCTAACGCTGGTCATTACAATAGGAATCCACATGATCTGATGCACAGATTTAGCTTATTTTCAAGTAGGTCACATAAATTTGGCAACAGAAAGCTGCTTAATTTGAAAGTTTCTTGTATGTGAGCTGTGCTTCATACATCGTTACACTATTGACAGTATGAACATTTTTGGGCTGGAAAATTTTGTTGAAATTAAAAAAAAAAAAAAAAGTAAATAATATTCTTTTGACTGAACAATCACCTGGAAACCACCCAGAATATCTATTTGTGGCAGAAATCACCAATTATATTTACATTTATGCACTTAGCTTTTATCCAAAGCGACTTACAATAAAGAAGCATAAGCTATTTGTTACAGAGCCAACAATGTTCACAGAATTCAATGGCAGGTTTATTAGAAACCTAGATTGGCAAACAAGCCGGAGTAGAGGAGAAATGCAGAAAAGAGAAAATGTGTGTCTTCAGTTGCTTCTTGAATGTTGTGATGGTCTCAGCAGTTCAGTTTGAGGTGGGCAGGTCGTTCCACCAGAGAGGAGCAGAGAGGGTGAAGGGTCTGGAAAGTGTCTTCATGCCTCGCTGTGAAGGAACGACAAAGCACTGCTACACTTGGTTATTTACCCACTCAGGAGTTAAAACCCGCTTTCGCTGAGTTGCCCTTTAAGAATGCTCACCAAAACATCTCACACTGGCAGAAAAGCTGTGAGGCGTCCATAATTCAGTTCTGTTTCTACTGAACACTAACAAACTAAGAAAAGGAAACTCATCACTTGCTCGGCATCAAAACACCTGAGATTGATGTTTCATGTGGGGTGTTCGGTTGTTTCTTGACCAGATGCTTTAATAAACTGTCAAATTCAAGCAGATCCTCAGTAGAAGCTTTTTTTTTTTTTTTGGAAGCGTACAGTGTGAAGTGACAGTGTTTACTCGCTATATGTCCATCCACACACTTCACCGGAGTGCCATTCTTACAGACTACCCACAATTCATCAGGACGAGAATCAACAGCTCAACTGAGAGCTCAGGAATGCTCTTTATGGTTCCCATGTGAGGCTTCTGGGATTGTGGAGGATCTCTAACAGCGTTCAAGACCATTACTTAAACATGACATGCTTAATCATTCTGTATTTGGGTGAAAATGGTGTATTTCAACGCAAGACTGAAACAGTCTCCCTGTTCATGATGCATTATTTACTGAAGCAAACCACGAGGTACGAGAGGTTATGAATATAAATATTTATGAACATAATATTTGAATATATATTGTTAAAGCATGTTGTTGAGCACAGCATGCAGTGTATTCTCAACCTTAAGTTAATTATTTGCTTTTAGAAGAAATACTACCTAATAAAAAATAAATGCAAAACCACATTTTAGTGTCTAGAGGCATCTTTCAGCATGAAGATGTCGTCCTTAATATAACAGAATGTTGCTATGCACCAAAAATAAGCAGAAATGCACACTAATTTGATGAGCAGGTGTTTTGTGTCATAGCTGTTTATATATAGATTTATATAATGGCTGGATCGCTGTACTGACCAATCAGAAGCCCAAACCTTTTCTTTTTTTTCAGTTTTATAAAATTGGTTACAATGCTGCTAATTTCAATTTTCTTTGCTTATATGGTTGACACTGACAAAATGAGGTTGATTTAGTGAAAACCTGACTGCTAAACCTCAAATCTATCTACCATCAAGCTTCAGTAACATATTAATAATGCATCATAAACACAGAGCTTCGTATGGACTCCTGGACGTCATGTGATTGTGATCTGCATCATTTGAATGTTTTTTGTGCTTTGTGGAAAGAATTTGTATGGAAGAGTTGAACTATGGTACATGTGTAAATCACTTTTGTTATTGCCTGCGAGAACAAGAAGTAAAGAGGGAGCAAAAAAGATGTTGAAACCGAAAGGAAGATTGTAAAAATAAAACTCCTTTTTTATGTAATCAATTCCTGCCCAAGTGAGGGATGTATTATTCCCCCTTCATTAATTCTGTTAACAGGTCATTTGCTGGGAGCACATTCTCTCTCTTCAGTTGAACTATGGTACATGTGTAAATCACTTTTGTTATTGCCTGCGAGAACAAGAAGTAAAGAGGGAGCAAAAAAGATGTTGAAACCGAAAGGAAGATTGTAAAAATAAAACTCCCCGAGTCTGGTTGTTTAGTCTGTTGTGGATGGCTTTGATTTACTGTAGCATGATGACTGTTTCATATGGAGATCTCGGGGAGCTCGCTGTGGACCACTGGCTCCATAAATCACTCACAACACACACACACACTAAAGTGGCCATTACCACTGCAAACATCCAAATATCATCCATCATGCATTGATTAGCCAAGCACACACCCATATACACTTATACAAAGCAGCTTGATCAGAAGTAAAGGATCAATCAGGTGACTGTGCAGAAATCTGTTTGTAAATCTTATTTACTTTATTATATAATAATATCATTAATTCTGCATAAGGTCAACATGTCACAAAATAAGTAATTTGAGATAAAACAGGGATTCCTGAACTTTTTATAAGCCGAAACCCAACAACATAAAATGTTTGCTCAAAGTCATGTTTTTAGTGTTTCAATTTTAGTGTTTCAACATCAGTGTTTTACCTGTTTACTGAGATGCCATTAAAACACTAAGAGAGAATGTATATACAGTATATATATATATATATATATATATATATATA